CCATTTTTCCTATGGGTCATAAAGCGGAATGAAATATTACCCTTAGAAAATTTTCAGATTTGGAAAAGAACTTTCTTCGAAGACTTCCAGAGGTTGATATTTTTGAATACTAAAGAAAAATGTAAAAAAAATTCCAAAAGACAACTTAGCTTACGTAATATTTGAACGATCTTTCAATTTTGGTTTTTCACTGTATTTGTATTCGCGATTTTTCCCTACCCATAATAAATGTTATATCATTCATTAAATCTTGAACGCATTTTTGTACAGTGAAATCTCCAGGAAGGACCACCTCTATTGACGACCCTTTTTGGGAGGGCACTTTCCATTGTGTTGAAGAAAACCTTTAGGAGAGAGACCATTAAAACCTCTCCTAGAGACCGGGCAAGCATCCGCATCGAATGCGGTCGAATAAGGAAACACGAAAAATTATCAGAACTAAAAGTTTAACAAAACAAATAAGTAGATTAAAATGTTTTCACAATATTTGTGTGAGGCAATGATTCACGTTTAGAGGTGAAAATTAAGTTGAGGGAATTTTTTTTTTTTTTTTTTTTTAGAAAAAACAAGCATTTTAAACAAACACTCTTTTCATATTTCAAAGCTAACTAGTCTTTATGTTATGAAATTAAATATAAAATTAAACAAAAATAAACATAACTGTTTATTTATTTTAAATATCTTTATCATTTATATAATTTTATTTTTACACATAATTATATCAGTTTGGATCATTTTTGGAGGCTCTAAATTTTATTCATAGATCCATAGTCTTTTGCCTGATGCCAACAGAAGTGGCAGAAAATGACACTGATTAAAATCGTTTGTGAAAAGTCATGCACATTCGATAACAATTTTGAACGACCCACCTCGCTCCCGAGAGGTTTCACTGTCGTACCATCCTATGGAACATCTCAGAATTTAGTATTTTGAAATATTTTTATTGTCTTTATTTTAAAAATATGTTTTCGAAAGAAAGAAAGAAAAAATGGTGCCCGCGAAAAATGAAACAAGAAGTATTTGGTAACTCCGTATCTTTAATTATCATTGCACTTGTGGACCCTGCAATGGTTTTAGGCGTTTAATACAAATATATCTTAAATGTTCGAACTGTCCTGAGTTTTCTGCAAATGTATCTGTAAATGTTTTGTAAGACTCGCAACGATTATTTTTAAACCCCGTTTTAATGCTTTTCTATCTTTCTGTGCTAGCAAAGCTGCAGGGAACAAAATGGTAAGACTAAGCCGGAGCGTAATATTACGTCAAAAAGCAGCGCGTGCAAAGTACCATATCACGTAATATTACGTCAAAAACAGGTAATTTGGTTTAAAAAAAATGTATTTATCTATTTTAACCATTCAGGTATTTTCTTTGGCTTTTACAGTCCCTGGCCAAATTATGAGACATAACTATAAGATTCTATGTAAAATCTTAATTATATAGATGACAGCTTTATTGTTTTTACGCGCAATTGTTCACTCATCATGTATCAGTTGGTTCAATGAGACTATATACATTTATAAATAAAGAATATTATACTATATTAGTATATCATGATAATTAGACAGACGCCCTTTAGTTTTTAAATAATTTCATACTTTACACGAGTTTATAGACAATACTTTTATATTTAAACACGCATGTAATGGGTTTTTATTCAGGAGCCTTTTTATATATATTTCCTATTTGTATTTATGAATAAAGAATATTACATTATATTAGTATATCATAATAATTAGACAGACGCCCTTTAGTTTTTAAATAATTTCATACTTTGCGCGAGTTTATAGACAATACTTTTATATTTAAACACGCATGTAATGGGTTTTTATTCAGGAGCCTTTTTATATATATTTCCTATTTGTATTTATTTATAACGTATAGCATTACAATGCTAACTAATTGATACAGGAGCGAAAACAAATGCGAGTAAAAGCAATAAAGCTGATAATTATAATTTTACATGGAATCTTAGAGTGTGTCTCATAATATGGGCCAGGCACTGTACGTCAAAAGCAGTGCTCGTAAAATACCGTATCGCGTAATATTACATCAAAAACAGGGTTAACATTTATTTATTTTCTTCGGCCTTTAAATGACGCGGCTTATTGGGGATCCCCAGTTTTATTTAATTAATTGTTCCACTTCAATTATCATTTAATTTAGAGGTATATATATTTTTTTCTTCATACTGTGATGAATACATTAATAGGAAGAGGGTTACCGCGTCCACTTATGAGATTTTTCACGATAGCCTCATTAACAAAAACATTCACTCTTTAATTGGAAGAGAGGGGAAAAATTCTTTAATCATGCGGCTTTTTATCACCGCCCCCCTCCCCCCCATACTATCTCCATTTCTCCGAGACGCCTAAACGACTATGGGAATAAAAAACTCGTTTTTATTTTATTTCTTCCTTCCTACTCTCTGCAATGCATTGAGGATGAAGAAGACACACAGATATTATTTGGTGAAGTGCTTGACTTGGCAGAGAATTATTGCGTCACTTTTCCGAGATAATAAGATACACTACTGTATTGGATGACCATTCGGCAAAATGGGTGAGGCTCTTGGAAAACACTTTCCGAACGTTTTCATATTTTACTTTCATGCATTACACACTCCCTGCGTTTTTAAAAAGCGCTTAAAGGTGCTTATTTCAGATTTTCGTTTTCTAACGCCCTTAAAGGTGCTTTTGTCATGGGGTGTTTTTAAAAAAGTGCTTCATTTTCCCTTTTTCAAAATGAGATTTTTCCTTTACCATGTTGATTTTCGCTACAAATGATGCAAAAAGACACCATTCACATTGTTCTATTCAACGTTTTTACACTTCATTTATTCAACCCCAATCTATTTCGGCGTATTGTCAGTCCTTAGCGTATGACAACGCCATTCGTTTGACATGTTTCAAAATTTCAGGATTTTTGACAATTGCCAAAAGGTTTTTTTTTTGACATGACGGTTAAAACAAGATAAAACCGTCAATTGTCAAAAACTTTTCAATTATGATATTTTTTAAAGTGCTTAAAAATATTTTTTGAGTGCTTGAAAAACGCTTAAACGGTGCTTATTTTTTGTTGAATAATTTGGCTATGCACCCTGTGTTAACATTGTAATGCAATACATTAAAAATAAATACAAATAGGAGGTATAATCTGTCTTGGTATGTTTAAAATATAAAAATATTGCCTACAAATTCGTGCAAAACATGTCATTATAAAAACACTATAGTGCGTCTAATTATTATAATTTGATAATATAATAAATAGTCTATATTGATATAATATACATCGTCTAATTTAACCCATTGATACATTAACGTAAACAAGAGCTGTCGTCAAAACAATAGAGCTGCATCACCTGATATAATTAAGATTTTACATAGACTCTCATAAGTGCGTCTATTAATTTGGACCGTATATCCAGTAAAAGCTGTTCTATGATGCGTCAAACAATATTATTTCTGAACAGTATTATAATTCCATTCGAGGAGTTGTCCTAGTTTTTAAAAATACAAATACTTTGTTTACTTGAAACAGATTTGTATGGAAGATTGTAGTCGAAATTCTACCCTGTTCAATTCATATTAAAACAAATTCATGTTGACGGCTCCTTGAACAATAATAAAATTCCAAAAAGAGAATGAATACGTAACAAAATGAGTCCTAAAATACACAAGAAAACTCAAAGTTTAATTTCATTTTTTCCCCAAACGTTCAAATCGTCTAAAGTGAAGGGAAATCAAATAAATGTACTACTATCGGCCTCTATATTGAGCAGCGACAATACGCCTTCGATCTCATCGATTTACGATAACTTCAGTTTTGAAGGATAACGAAGCCTCTTCTGTGTCTCTACCGCCATCTCTTGGCGTTTTTATGAAGCTTACTTTATGGTGTTCATCTACAATGAAACTGAACTGTAGCTACCGATTCTAAATGATGAAAGCTGCTGTAGCTACTTTTTATACTTAATAAATCAGAATGAAAATTTTTAATGGGTGTATACTTCATCAGCCGGCAAGTGTGAATCAGTATTTTAAGAGGCACTTTAAAAACGCGAAATTTCTCAAATATTCTGAATCGAACGTAATTTAAGATTTTATTTCAATGGTTCAAGGTGTTTCGAGAAAGTTAAAAGAATGAATTAATATCAAGTCTATAAAGCTACACGAATTTAAAGATAAATGTTCGTTTTTACTTTTCTATGGTAATTTGCACTACCGTATTATATTAACGTCAAAAGAGATTCGATTAAATACGAACGATATTAAGGTTCAAAATTTCGAATTGGATAGGAGAGGGGACCTTTTTAAATGTGCGGACCGCCCATTTTGTGAAGAGAAAAAAAAAATCTTGAAGCCAACTAAATATGCAAATAAAAAATATATTTATACATAGACACGCTAGATTCCATTTATATAATACTGATTAGTTGGTTTTTTTTATATAAATAAAAAAACACAAATAAGAAAATAATTTCTGAGATCCTACGATACATATTTAGAAGAAACGAGTAATATATATACATATATATAATTACTCGTTTCGAGTAATTATATATACGTTAACGAGTAATATATATACATATATATATTAAAGTCAATTCCATCTTAGGTCAGCCAAGAAAATTTTTTATTTTAGTTACTTTTTATTAAATAATTACAATATTTTCTCTCATATAAAACTAAAATTTATTAATTAAATTGAATGAATGCAATAATCTTAACTGTATTAAAAAAACTGTAATCTTAACTGTAGAAAAAACTGTATTAACATCAAGTAACTACAAGTTTTAAAAAAAAAAATTGTATTTGAACTTGAGTACAATGAATAGAAAAGTATTTAATGAACCATTGAACAATATAGTATATTGGGAGAGAGTGTGTGTCATTAAATGGGAAGAATTGGAGGGGAGAAAAATGGATGCTTAAAAAAATTAGAGGCCGTGGATTGGAAAAATAATGTGTATATGCTTTGACGGTTTCCCTTTGTTTCAGAAGGGAGGTAACATTTTTAATTTCTGTGGTGAATCTCTGAAACTAAATGGAACCCTGCCCATCACCTCCTTTCCTCTCATCACCTACGACAACATCACTCTTTCCTCTGTGGTGGCCACAACTACATCGCATCACGTCGTCGCTTTCATTGGAACACGGAACGGATCACTCAAGAAGGTATGCTTTTTTCCATTCTATTTCAATATAAAAATAAATATTTTTTCTTCTTCTTCTTTATATCAAAAGCTGATGGAGCTTTCTTCGATATACATTAAATAAACCACCATACTCTTTGTAAATAGAGTTTCCCCTCACTCCACACTTTTCCCATCTCTGATACCCTTGATTTTCTCTACCCCAATATATATATATATATATATATATATATATATATATATAAGTAACGACCAACCATCGTTGGGATTTGAACGCGGTTCACCTCATTGGAAGGCGAATGGTTGCCATCTCGGCTCTGAATGTGATGTTGTTTTTTTTAATTTTTTTTATATAAATATATTCGTCGTTGAACAGCCAATTCAGTTTTGGGTTTACGACTACTAATGTTCAACTCCATAGCCTTATAATTTTGAACCAATCCAGAAGACAAGGAAATTCCTGGATCAGTACCCACAGAGGTATTGATTTGTCATGGGAACATGGAGGACTTTGAGACTCGACAGATTTAACGTGCATCAGTTACCACGGGGAGTCTTCGGCCGGCCTGGGATCGAACCCACGAGCTATTGGATACGGGCCCAGTGCCCTACCAATCAGGCTATTCCGTCCTGATGAATGTGATAGTTGAAAAAGTCGGATTTTTGATTTTTTAAGAAGTTTTATTTTTAAATTTTTATTTCTTTAAAATAATTCGACAGCTCTCATGCTGAATTTTTTTTATCTAAATTTTCATGGTTTTGAAAGTTCAGTTTGTATAATTTGCAATTCCAGATAATTTAGTACAAGGCTACTTTCCACCGTGTTTATATATTTATTCTGTGTGGTGATTTTAAGTAACTCTAACTTAAGAAAAATTGTCCGCGTTACTTCAGTTTGCATAGTTAAAAGTTGCTAATTTCTTGATAAATTTTCATCCGTCTCAGAAAAGCAGTTCAAAAACTCTTTTAAAACTGTGAGCGTTCACAAACTACCTATTTTATTGCACTTATCTGCCTTTTATGAATGCTGCCTTTGTTAGCTCTTCGAAAGCCTTTTAAATATTTCTTCCCCAAAACACACAAAATTAAATATAAATCTTTCATAGTTTTCAAAATTAATGGCATAGGAAATTCCATTAAGTCTTTCTCTTAAAATACTCTTTTATGTTGCTACATGCTCGTTAAATCTTTTTAACGGTTCCGGCCGAAATAAATGCTAACCCCCCACTCCCCCCTTTTTCTCACACCCTTTAAAAGTAGCCGGTGAAACAGAAAAAGGTCTTAAAAAGAAAAGGATGGGGGAAAAAAATAACTTCTACTTTTACTTTTTTTCTTCTCGTTTGCTAAAAGTCGCCCTATCAAAGATTTTTTCTTCTCTCGCTGCTTTTACGATTTGTTTCAAAATAGGTAGGGAAAATATATTTCTATTTTATTTTGTTTTGATTGAAAAATACGTTTTATCTTTTATAGTTTGCTATTTTGATTTTAATTAATGTCAATCGATTGTCTCTTCGTATGAAGGAATTCATTTTAATTTGTATTTTACAATTGTGTGTCGATTGTTTTTCGTATGAAGGACTCCTGTTTCATTTGTGTTAAATAATTGTTAGTCGAATTGTTCTTCGTATCAAGGAAATCATTTTCATTTGTATTCATTGTTAGTCGATTGCTCTTCGTATGAAGAACTCCTTTTTCATTTGAATTTAATAATTGTTAGTCGATTGTTCTTTGTATGAAGGAATCCTTTTTCATTTTTATTTAATGATTGTTAGTCGATTGTTCTTCGTATGAAGGAATTCTATTTCATTTGAATTTAATAATTGTTTGTCGATTGTTCTTCGTATGAAATAATAATTTTTCATTTGTATTTAGTCACTATTTGTCGATTGTCCTTCGTATGAAGGAATCCTTTAATACTTTTTCTTGACTAAATAAGATCATGATACTTGATATTTAAATATATTTTTCTTTTTCAATCATCCAGCTGTATTTGCATTGAGATGATAAGAGGTATTAAGTAAAAAGTTCAGTGGAAAAGCGTGTGTCATTTTTAAGAGTTTAATTTGATTCAGTTCTGGAATATTCATGTTGTAAAATTAATTCGGAGAATGTATTTCTTTAGAATTTGATTTAATGAGCATCAACTTTAGAGTATCTATTTATATTATGAAATTATGAGTTAAGTGTGAAAAACACATTAAGTATTGTGGTTTAAGAATTTGATTAGATAAAATAAGCTGTAGAGTATGAAGAGTTTAGTTGATGAACCTGTTGAAGATCATTTATAAGATATTTATTGAATAAAAATCAACTATAGAATTTTTGTATTATAAAATGAAGAACTTAGTGGAAGAGCGCTATTTTTCAAAATTTACACAAAGATCAGCTAGGAAGTATTTAACTTTTCTCATTAAAAATGTATTTCATTAAAGATTTGCCTAATGATCCAAAAAGGATAAGGTCTGCTATGTAGACTGACGAAAAAATCAAATAAACTTAAATGACATACAAATACAGAAATAGACATACTATAGTAACGATTCTATAAATAAGAACATTCTTCAGTGTCCAAACACCATTTGGTGATGAGAGGAATTATCTTGTCTATAAGACCAGAACTATAGAACAGTCCCTGGACGAACTATAAGATTCGTTGTAAAATCTTAATTCTCAGTAGTATATACTATACAGCTTCATTGTTTTTACGAGACTGAAACCGGTTTGCACTTGTTTATATTCGTGTAACAATTGGTTAAATTAGGTGATATATGATTTAAATTCGACGATATGTTATATAAATATAGACTATTAATTATATTGTATGTTATAATAATTAGATCAAATTATGAGACGCGCAGTAGTGTTTTGATAATGACATGTTTTGCACGAAGGCAATTCTTTTATATTTAAACAAACATGTAATGGGTTTTTATTCTTTATATACTTCCTATGTGTATTTATTTTTAACGTATTGCATTACACTGTTAACCAATTATTACACGAACGTAAACAAGTGCAGCAGGGTAAAAACAATACAGCTGATAATTATAATAGTGCGTCTAATAATATGGACTGTTTGTAAGGAAGTGTTGCTGCAAATGCATTATTGTTCTCATAGGCTTAATTATTTCAAAGGTCGAGTTATTTTCCTATCTACTGGATATGCAATACCGCTTTCGAAATGTAGAAGCAAGTTTTAAAAGTGGAATATTTCCATCTTTCTCCTTATTCGTGGAAGATATATGATTTTATGCATTCAAAAGCTGCGTTTGAGGCGTTTTTCCTTACTCATTCCGACTTTCTTGCTCGCAATAATGTGGCCCGACATGTTGCTGGAGCTGTTTCGAAGATGCGAGCTAAAAGCTGATTCTCTCGCGACGCCATTATAGTCAATCGCGTGTTTCCATGTGCAAAAGGGAGAAATAGATTCAAATACATCACCCTATGCCGTCACTTATTCCACATAGTATGGTAACAAGTCGTGGAATTGCATAGAACAGAATGAAAAAAAAAAAAAGAGCATTTCCGAAGTATAAACTGACACGCTAACAAGACACAGTTAGTTCCTTTGAAGAAGATGAGAGGAAGTTGCAGGGAACCATAAAAAAAAAAGTTGAGGCCGAAGCGAGCGCCGAGTGCTTTATGGTTCATCTTTCTCGTGCAATGGATGGAAAAGGAACGAATGAAAGACGCGAGAGGGCAGAAAAAGAAGGAAAGGAAGTGCTTTTACGATCAGGAATTTTTACGAGCAGGATTCTGAGTATTAAAACGATATCCAGAGGACTGTCATAGAAAGATTGCTCGTCCACCCTCCCAAACGACAATAGGGGATGCCTCTTTCGAAAAAGGGAATTTTTCCAAACCTACTCAGGAATAGTGTTTCGATTTTCATATAAACAGGGTGCGTAGCGTTTTTAGAAAGTGCTTAAAGGTGCTTATTTTGGATTTTTAATTTTTAAAAACCCTTTAAAGATGCTTTTTTCATGGGGTGTTTTTAAAAAGTGCTTAATTTTCCCGTTTTCAAAATGAGACTTTTTCCTTTACTATGTTGATTTTCGCTTCGAATTATGCAAAAGGACACAGTTCACATTGTTCTATTCAGCGTAATTAATTGTGAAAACGTTTTCACAATTAATTAAACCCCAATCTATTTCGGCGTATTGTCAGTCCGTAGCTTATGGAAACGCGATTCGCTTTACATGATTCGAAATTTCATGATTTTTGACAATTGTCAAAAGGTTTTTTTTCCCGACATGACGGTTAAAATAAGATAAAACAGTCAATTAAGTGCTTAAAAATATTTTTTGAGTGCTTGAAAAGTGCTTAAAAGGTGCTTATTTTTTGTTGCATAATTTCGCTACGCACCCTAATAAGCCCTCAACAATTTCAATTTATTTTGTTTATTTCTAGTTTTCAATAACCAGTGCTATAGTGTCTTTTTTTCTTTGTTACCGTGACTCAATTGAGTGCCCCGGGAGGATAAAATTAAACAAAACATATAATCTTCAGATGACTTGACCAATAATTATCAAATCATCTAACGTCATTAATTTTTTTTTCATGCTTAAGTTACTTTTTTTTTTATTTTACTGTAGCATCTATAATTTTTTTCTCCATTTGCTGAAAAACAATTCGAAATATTTTTTTTTATTACATCAGAGATGATTGTACTCCTGAAAAAAATCATGAATTCCGAATTTTTTTTCTTTTTGAAAATCAGTTAGCAATATCTTGGTTATAAATATACAAAGATTTTCACAAAAAACTAATTGTCTTACACTGGCACAAACTTTTTCAAAATTCCTAGCCCATTAGCCAAGTTGTTAGTATTAAGAAAATTTAGTAAACAAATTAGTTAGCTAGCCTTTAGTTTGTTAGCATGACTGATCTAAAAAAAAATTCTAATTAAAAAAGTTAAGATTCGAAAGCGAACAATATCTTCGAGCAGTAGTGGCTCAGGGGATAGAAAGTTCACATTCCAATAAGGTGAACCTCGTTCGAATCCCAGCGATGGCTGACATC